AACCTACTCACCTCGTGTGGAAGCAAGCAGTGTGAGAAGCAGAAGAGGGAAGGGCCTGGAGACAGTGGCCGATGCAGTCAATCCACACATGGACCATCTATTGTCGGGACCGCATCTTATCACAGCCACCCCCCAAAGTCCCAGCTCCCCACCTCTGCACTGGGAGTAGGGGATGGAGGCATTCCCAATCTAAGCCAGAACACATGGGATGTCTCGCCTTCTTGAGTTTCTTTTCAGGGCTTCTGCGATATAAACCTAACTGCTGGCACAGGGCTCCCAAAATGTACTTTTACACACCTCAACTTATATTCTTGAGTGTTGTAATGGGAGGGAGGTAAGCATAAATGGTGTATCGCTTTGCCTCGTTAAAGTTTATTTTCTTTCCATGGAACATATCACTTATTCAATAAAGGAAAGAAAATTTAGTCTTAAAAATTTCCCCTATAAATAACTTACTTGTCACAAAGGGCCAAGTAGTAAGACGGTATCAGGGAAGTCTGAGACACCAGCGTCCTGAGTCTCCTGCCAGGATGCATGGGGGGGCACATTATCACTTCTGCGTGTGTGTGTGTGTGTGTGTGTGTGTGTGTGTGTGTGTGTGTGTGGTGGAGGTTGGAACAAGCTGCTGGCCATGAAGAAGCTACAAGAAGGGGCTAGAGATGGCAGTTTACTGGTTAGCAGTCCACTTGCTGCTCATACAGAGTTCCCAGCACCCTCGTGGTGGATCACAACTTAAGTCCAGTTCCAAGTGATCTGATACTCTCTCCCGGCCTCTGCATGCACCAGGCATGCTACTGTGGTGCACATACATTGATGGGGCAAACACTAGTACACATACAAGTAAACGCCTTAAGAAGCCACAGGGAAACACGAAGAAACCACAATGTACTCCACAACCAGCCTTCAAAACGTTCCCAGCCTGTCTATAACATAAACAAGAGGTTGAAGAACTAGTTCATATTTAGATGACAATTAAGTGGGACGGGGTGTATAAATATTGGATTAAAAAGTAGGCATAGGAATGCTGCAGGGTGAATGGTAAAACCTGAGTATGAACTGTAGGTCACTTGTATGTTAATGACTGATTCTACTGTGCTGCAGTGGCCAAAGGGGAGACCAATGCCCTCAGATTGTACACACACACACACACACACACACACACACACACACCAAAAAGATCTAAAAATAATAATTGTGCTATAGGATAATGGTCTGTCTTACAAATAGACACCATATAGTGTTCTCTATATCTCCAACTCATTGGTTCTAGCTGTTTCTGTTTGTTTGTTTGTTTGTTTGGATGGTTGGTTTTGTTTGGTTTTGTTTTTGTTGTTTCGTTTTTTTGTCAGCAATCTGATATAAGCTAGGGTTATCTGGGAAGAAGAAACCTCAGTTGAGACGATGCCTCCAGCAGATTGGACTCTAGACAAGCTTGTGAGGCATTTTCTTGATTAACTAATAATATGGGCTGTCATGGGATACCACCCCGGGCCTGGATGACTTAAGAAAGTAGGCCGAGAAAGTGATGGAGAGCAAACCAGTAAGAAGCACACTCCCAGCTCCTGCCATTGGGTTCCTGCCATGAGCTCCTGCCTTAGTGTTCCTTCCTGATAGACTGTGGTCAGAATATGTAAGCCGAAGTAAGCCCCAGGTTGCTTAGGGTCCAATGTTTTATCACAGCAATAGAAACCAAACTAGGAAATCAGCCTTGACAATTCAGAAACACACAGAGGTGGATACGGTAAAGCAGACTCCTAACTGCCTGGAGCTGTCAGCGATGTGATACTGAGTGAAGTGTATTCCAGTTCTTCACCCACCCAATGTAAAGTTGTCTATATAACTATATGTACTGCAATTTCAACATATAGTTTACAATATATACTACAGGTAACAATTTTAAAAATTAACTGCATATATTTCAAAATAAATGTATACCCCACCGTATCAATCTAACCCAGCCTATTCCGCAGATGTTCTTAGGCAAGTTAGAAATAAAAGCTAGGTCAGCAGCAGGGCTGGTGGACTCACTAGACTGTAGTCTAGTAACTTATTTTCTCATTTGAGTAAAACGTTTTCTTAAATGTGGGTGTGGAATATTAAACCTTAAATTCCAAACCATTCTTTATATTCACTAATTTGTTTGGGGAAAGGGACTCATACATGGATGACTTTCAGGTTCTCTCCCCGCACCAGGGCCCAGGGATCAAACCCAGGTTGTCCAGCCTGGTGACAAGATCCTTTACTCACTGATCCACTTTGTCAGCCCAAGTCAGGCCCAAGACTAGTTAATGAATAGGGCTAATTCCTGTCAGCCTAGAGAACTTTCCATGTTAACTTTTTCTAATATGCTTAGTTCCCACTTTCTTAGGAAATCCAATTTATATCTTTAGCATCGTAAAATACATAAGCTCTTGTTTCTGTCACATCAAATGAATTTGTCTTTTAGCTTTAGAATGTTTTCCACAAATCTTTGCCCACTGCCAGCCTTCCTCTCTCTTCAGTATCTCTTTGATCAAGATTTTCTATCCACTCTGTAATAGTCCACTGGTAATTAAGAGTTTACCTCTTCTGCCCAAAAGGCAACAATTTATCACAAACTGTCAGGGATCCCAATTTTAAATTACCCAGAGTCCAATAAGAGAGCTAAGGAATCTTCGTCCCAATTAAAGTGATTGATTTCTTAACAATTTGGTAGCACGGCACTTTTTAATTATGTTCACTGCGATCAAATGTGAGAAACTTCATTTTATTTACCTTCCCAGGAACAAGGTACAACAAACATTAATCCCAGCGACATGAAGCCAGACCCTGGAGCGCCTGTGGCAGAAGTGGCCATGTCATCTGTCAATGGTGCTTGTCTGTCCTTATGATCTTATTGGCTGTTTCAGCACTAAAGAGAGGAGGGGAAAAAAATCACTCTCAGCTCACCCAAGTGCATGCCAAGCCTTCCAGCACCAAGGTCACAGGGTGACAACAAGATGCTGGGTATGTCTCCCAATAACAGAAATCTAACAGAGAAAGGAAGAGCTGGGACAGATTTCAATCCCTTCTTGTACAAAGAAAGGAACCACTGTATTGGAGTCAAAGCAGTGTGGAAAATGAATATACAGGTGTTAGAACGTTTGGGATCACAAAAGAGACCAAGGAACCTGGTTTAAGAAATGGACCAGGCATAACTTGCCACCTTCTGGGGGTTGGAGGGTGCTCGGAAGGGTAAGCAATCAGAAGTGCACTTGGTTTTTATTTTAACTTAAGTGGTCTTTTCCCCATTGGCTGGGATTGAACCTTATTCACTCTTATTCAGTTGGCCAGTCTGAAATAAACTAGTATACGGGAAACAAAGGGGGAGGGCGGGAAGGCACGACACTTTAAGCGTAGAATGTACTGGGTTGAGGAGAGGGATTTGCATAAGTGTTATGAGGTGGGACATATGAAAAGATTTAATTCTTTGTCATCATCCTAGGCTTTATAGTATCTGATAGAAAAGACTCATTTAATGTAGCTTAAACAGAACACACACAAAGCCTTTTTTCCTCCAATGAGATGACATCAGGACACATATGTAGGTAAAGAACTTTGAAAGAGAAAAATTAAAACTTCAGAATCAGTTTAGAAGATCCCACAGAACAAGAGGCAATCCTTCACCCAGCCTCATGGGGGCCCCAAAGTCTCCCCTGATGCCTTGCTTCTAAACCTTCAGGGACAGGCCAGTGGGTTCTCATCCCAAAGCCTAGCCAGCTGCTGCATCCCTAGCAGCCCCTCCCACCATGCTCCCTGTGCCCAACCGACTGACCTCAGCCAATCTCTTACAGCAAACAAAGGTCACATTTTATGCTCTGGTTACTTTCTAAGATCTGTGCTCCAGAGTCTACCATGCGAGACAGACAACTGGCTACCTCCAAAAGCTTTCAAATGGTAAAGATGATTCTAGAAATCTCCCCTCTTGATCAGAGAATCACAGTCAATCCTTCAGCAGATGAATTGCACTATGCACAAAGCTTTTGATATTTGACCAAATCCATGTGTCCTGCCTTTGCTGCCCCAAGTTGTTTGCAATCCTAAGAAACCATGCAGAGCTTTATGTTCATTAGGCAGTCTGAACAGCTACGTGCAAGACAGATAACTCGCCAGCATCACAAAGAGAAGAGAAACGGTCCTATCCTATGAATAAAAAAAAACTTCCATGAAACAACAAAGAACAGAAAGACACTAGCAGATGCTGTGAAGGCTAGTCTTACCAAGCTGGGCAGGACCCCTAAGCTTAGTGTGGCATGGGCAAACAAGTGACAGAAACACTCTAAGATCCATTAGCAAAAGAGACAGGAAGCCAGGCAGATGTTGGGAAGCACTGACAGCCACACTAAAAAGCCTGGCTCACTCACACATCCACACACAGAGCAGAGAGGAAGTCAGTCGAGGCGGCTGTGGTGGGAGGAGCGGATGGGGCAGAGATGAGGTGCAGAAATAATCCCAGGGTTTCCATAGCAGGGCTGGCTGTGACATGACAGGTTGAAGTGGAGAAAATGGGGGCTCACAAGCACACAAAAAGGGGGTGTAACTCTGAGCACTAGTGCTGTTTGCGACCCTGGATGATCAAACTGGCTCTTGGCACTTATGGACGAAGAGAGCTTGTTTTAAAAATATCCTGCAATGCTGGGTGTTATTTCAATTCTTCACAAATGAGCTGGTGGAACCTGACCAGGCAAACCAACTAATCAGTGTCTTCTTGTGCAATCAAATGAAACAGGATGAGCCCAAAACTGTTCTGCTGTTTTTGTTTTGTTTTTTTTCTGGGCTAACAGGGACAGAGTTCACAAAACTGTACCCTGGGAGCTGTACTGGAAGGGACTCTGCTGACTGTGTTTGTTCCAAAGTAAAAGGCAAGCAACCACACTGAGTTGCACAAGAACTAAGCCTGACACCTTTGTCTGGATTCCCCTCGGAATGTTTAAAAGCAGCACCTGACTAAAAAAGCAAGCAGAATAATTCACAGACAATGGTTTGAGTGACTAGGACTTTAATGTTCTTCATACAGTCAAACACTAATGATACATGAACAACCAGAAAAGACCTCAGCAAAGATCTGGAATGTATAGTGTTGCACTCGCTGTTCAAACTGCAAAAACAGGCATATAATCACAGTTTGGGGCTTGGGGGGTGAGGGTATAGCTGAGCTTTGTTTAACGACCGAACAGAAAAGCAAAGAACCAACCATTTCTTCTACTTGTGGCAAAAAAAAAAAAAGTGAATCACGGAATTTCTAGACCCCTCTCATGACGAAGCTTTAAAAGGCAGTAGGTGGTGGGTGCAAGTGTCCATAACATGACAGTCATGCACAAAGTCATGGGCTGAACAAATTCTAAAAGCCTCTACAGAACTGTTTCATTAGAAATATAAAGGCATAAAACCGTATGGTGTTTAAAAAATACCCACTACATAAACACAGCATATCACACCTATCTCTTTAAGGGACTAGCAGTATACAGATCCAAAATGCTCAGGAGTTGCTGTTGACTTTAACCAACAGCTGCAGAACCCAGTAAACTCACAACTGTCAATCCAGCACATAGGGCCTCTCAACCTCCTTGTGATACGCTCCTAATAATAACCAGTTGGAACCAGCAGGGAAAAGTCCAGGGCAAGTCCTTCTATCCACTTAGAGAAAGGAGCAGCAAAGATGACAGGCTGAATTCATTAGAAAAGCAAAGCTTTCAAAATGTTTCCAAGTCACGTAAGAATGAAGGTGGCCATTAGCTGATAGTTTCCTCAGCCCCGCCGAGCCCCGTTGTTTAGTCGTTATTCTCTGAAAAAGGAATCTGTAATAAGCATGTATTTGAAAAAATCCATGTCTGTTAAGTTTCTGTAGTCAATCCCAAGTTACTCTAAACGCTGCATGTTGCACACAGGCAAGAGTGTGGTTGGTCCTGTTCACAGCTGATGCATCTCCAAGAAATTCTTCATGAAGGCAGCCAACTTCTCAACATCTTCAGTTGTGACAGCATTATACAGAGAGGCACGGATGCCTCCCACTGACCTAGAACAACAGAAACCGGACCAGTAAGACCAAGAAAACTGGGAGAAGGCAAATCATGGTTAGAGCCCTTGCCTACCATACGTAAGGCTCCAGGTTTGAACCTCAACAACACAGAAAACGTGAAATGTAAAAGGCTCTGCTTTAGCACAGCACAGCCTTCACTGGCTACCCCTCCTGAGAGTTGCAGCTCTGAGCCCAGGTGCTCAGGTTCCCACCTGTAAACATTCCCAGCAGGCAGCATGAAGCTTCCAAGTCATTAGGAAATCCCTTGTGCCATGAAGGCCATCCACCATGCTCCCACTGAATCACCTCAAACTAGTTACGTTTTTAGAGTAGTTGTTTTCTTGTTATTTGTCCAAATTAATGGATTTCACTGTGGCATTTCCAGAGATGCATACATACACTGGACTTTGATCACACCCAAAACTATTCACCTTTCATAAAGAAAAAACTAAATGAGGGGCTAGAGAAAAATCCAGATGAAGAGGTTTGGGCCCATGCCACTCACTAGGTTATTCGACAGTTCTAACCAAACAGAAAAAACACTCTGCTGCTGCAGGTCTCCTGTGCAGGGTATCTGATGTTCAACTGAGCCCAGTGATGGTTTGTTAAGCCCATGGAAGAGGCAGTGCAACCAGCCAGAAGTGGGCTTCTTCCCCAGCAAATCTGTAACCACTACCCCAAGCTGTGTAAGGTCCTGGATTTGCTTCCTTCTGACTCTGACAGGCCTGGAGATGAGGCGTGCTTACCTGTGCCCCTTCAAGGAGATCATGTTGAGTTCTACTGCCTTATCAAGAAATCGCTTTTCCAAAGCTTCGTCTCCTTTGGCATTACCAATGCGAAATGGAATGTTCATCCTGCTTCTATTCTGGTGCTCCACTGGACATCTGAAAAGCATGTTTATTATCCCAGCTATATTTCAAAGAGGTATAATGTCATAAACAAATGTATAGGTTTTTAAACAGTATCGAGGGCTGGGGCTGGCATTCAGCTGACAGAGTGCTTAACATGTACAAGGTTCTGGTGGTACAAGCCTGGAAACCCAGCATTCAGGACGTGGAGGCATGAGGAATAGTGTTCCAGGTCACACATAGCCACACAGTGATTTCAAGGCCAGTTGGGGCTAAGTGAGAGAGACCCTGTCTCAAAATAAACAAACGGATGAATAAAAAGAAGGAAAGGAAACGAAAGCAAACAAACTCTTCCCCAGAAAAGCCTCATGCATGCAAGCTGTAGGCTAGCATTCTGTCAGACTCAGTCCCTTCACTTGAATATTAGAAGCAGCATTGTCTCTGTTTCACTCTATGTATGACAACTGAATCGGTCATTTACATAGCTATGAGCACATGTCAGCCACACAGCACAAGTATACAGCTCTTTCTACAAGGCTGCAGACAAGCTGGGCCTACACGTGGCTGCAAACTTAAAGAATCAAAGACCTGAACTTGCAGATCATGCCTGCTAATTACCCCAGCCTGCCATGAAAGGGGAGAAAATAACAGGAAACAATCATGCCATAAAAGCTCAAAACTGAAGACTAAATCACAAGCACATCACATGTCACCCACAACTCCATGTTCCTCATACAAGAAGGGAAACAGTCTCCTCCCAGGGAAAGATGGTGGAGAGAATCAGACTTCAAGGCGAGGAGGATGCTTAGCTGGAGAGGACTACAAAGTTCCAAAAAGGCAACCTTGCTGAGCAGTGTTGAAGAGGGAAATATGTGGAAGTAGGGGGCGGAGAGCAGATGGGTACAGGAGGACTGTGTGGTGGAGGTGGAGGAGGAGGAGGAAGAGGAGGAGTCTGCCAAGCTCTGGCTCAGTTAGCATGCTGGGCTCCTGGCAAGAATGTCTGAAGGCACATGACCCTGGTCCATGGAGAGCCTGCAGACACTCTGGCATTTGACTGGATCCCTCAATGATGAGGGGTAATAAGTTTGCACACAAGTAGATCTGTGTTTTAGAAAAATAGCTATGGGGCCTGGGGAGATGGCTGGGTCAGCCAACTGCTTGCTATGCAATCATGAAGACTTGAATTCGGAAACCAGGAACCCATGGAAAGTAAGCATGGTGGTACACCTCTGCAATCCCAGCTAGTGGGTAGAGAGCCACTGTAAGCCAAGAGCTCCCACAGACAGGAACATGTTAGGCCAAAGGCGATATCGGTATGTTTTATTGGCCTAGTTATCCAAGAATGCACCCACACCCTTCACCTGCACAAACTCTTCGAGTCTTGGCTAAAATCTAGGACTGCAGCACCCCTCTTTTCTATTCCATGTGGCCCATGAAATATTCAAGGCAAGTGAGTGCAAGTTACTATCCGGCAGACTACTACAACAAACAAAAAACCTCAAAGAATCATGACCATTAAAATTAGAGGTTCTGGTTTGCTCATTGAATATAAATGTTTATGTAGATTCATAGAGTTGAATATATAAACACAACATATCACATGATATATGGCCAACATACATCTGTGCCCACCTGAGGGCTAAGGAAGATCAAATGCCATTACTGTTCACAATGCTCCAAAGTCCCAGGCACTACTCCAGGTGCATCCCATCTGCCATTATGTGCAAAGCTTGGTGTGGCATGTCGGATAGTGGACATCATTATGTCCAAAGCTTGGTGTGGCACGTTGGATAGTGGCCATTATATCCAAAGCTTGGTGTGGCGTGTCGGACAGTGGACACGTGTCCATCGCTGTGGCATGTCGGATAGTGGACAGTATGTGCAAAGCTTGGTGTGGCATGTCGGACAGTGGACACGTGTCCATCACTCATCGTCTAGAACTCATGAATCTGACCTATTTGGAAAACTTGTCTTTTGCAGACAAAATGATGACAATGATCTTCACGAGGCTACCATGAAAGGTGGGAATGTCAGCCCATGTCTAATAATCCCAGTCCTTGGTAAAGGAAGGCAGAAGGACAAATCCAAGGCCAGTCTCAGGGACATAGAAAGCTCAAGGCCAGCCTGGGATACATAGTGAAAACCTATCTCAAGACAACAAAATCATCCTGAAGCACTGGGGGACACATAAGTCGCATGGCTTATTTTCATAAAACAGAAAACGAGAAAGGAAAAGGCTACTGAAGACAGAGACCGAGAGGATACACCTTAAGTCAGGAGCAAGCTGGAAGAGAATAATGAGATTCTTTCCAAGAGTCTCTAGAGGGAACCAAACCAAGAATGTTTTGATCTTGAACTCTGGGCTTCTGACTTGGAGAAATTCTGTTGTTTTAGGCTGCCAGGTTACGGATGCTTTATTATAGCAGCCCTAGGAAACGCCTACAAGATCTATGCATTGCCTAGACCTCACAAATGCAGCCAGTGATCAACATGTGATCACTCATCCCTGTCAAAGTATTTAGCTAGACCAAAGTGGACCCTGCCATAGCCAATCTCAGTCAGACTGCAGGTGAGTGATGGAGACACCTGTACTAGAAGAAAGGAGGCAGTGAACTCTGATACAAGGGGAAGGTTCAGAGGGCAAGGCTGTTCATACGGTATGAGAATCTGAGTTCAAATTCCCAGAGCCTACATAATGCCAGATTGGGGTGGGGGGGCAAGAACACATCTGAAATCCCAGAGCTTCTAAGGTAAGCTGGGAGGGGAATCCCCGGAAGCTCACAGCCTGGCAAATGTCACTATGAAAAACAAAGAGACCCTGTTTCAAACAAGATGGAAAGGGAGGGCTGATAAGAAGGTTGACCTCTGACCTATACAAGCAAAGTGTCCATGTGTGCCTGTCCACAAGCCCACACAGGAAGGTAGGTATCAGGAGCAGGGATTTACAACATGAGGGACCTTAGGCAAAGCTGATAGCTTCCTGTGACAGTTTTCCGGTGTCACAAGGGAGGAAGGAGCACAGAGGGGTCCTATCCCAGACATCAGTGCACACTTCCCCAGGTCAGAGTATTTGGGGAAATGACCCAAAAGACTGGAATTTCCCAGCGTGGAGTACAAGAGCAACGAACCTCCACCCCCAGCTCAAGAGGCATGGGACCATGGCTTACCAGTACAACAGTGTTCCTGGGAAAGGTGCATTTCAAGAAAGAGAGTTTCCAATTCATAAGAGACACAATACACCGGGCGGTGGTGGTGCACGCCTTTAATACCAGCACTTGGGAGGCAGAGGCAGGCGGATTTCTGAGTTCGAGGCCAGCCTGGTCTACAGAGTGAGTTCCAGGACAGCCAGGGCTACACAGAGAAACCCTGTCTCGAAAAACCAAAACCAAAACCGAAAAAAAGAGAGAGAAAAAGAGAGAGATGGAGAGAGAGAGAGAGAGAGAATGCATTGACTTACACATAAAATCCTTGAGAATTATCAATGATCTCATAAATCATTTGGGATTTGATGGAGCTGAGCTTCTCCATGGCTGTGGCCCCGCCATTGTTCTTGATCCATTCCAGGACCATGCCCATGACGTAGATGCTAAAGCAGGGGTGAAAGATGACACCATTAAGTTCTGCTCTGCAAAAGCCAAAAGGGCATGTAAGCAAACTGGCATTGGGAGCCACACTGACACTTTTAGCATTGTTACAAATGAATAAAAGCAGAACACTTGAAGAGCAAGCAACAGTTGACTAAGCCACTGCAGCTGAAGCTCACATGGCACTCCAAAGAGCCAACACAGAGCACCAGCAGACCCTCTGCAAATGGGGACCACACATCCCCACCTCTTTAGATCCGTGGGTCACAACCCTGGCTGAGGTTGCCTAAGACTGTCAGAAAACAGATATTTACATTACGATTCGGAACAATAGCAAAATTACAGTTATGAAGTAGCAAGTAAAATAACTTTATGGTTGAGAGTCAGCACAACATAAGGAACTGAATTAAAGCGTGGCATCGTTAGGAAGGTTGGGAACCACTGCTCTAGACTGTCTCCCCAACTGCACCCTAAGCAGCTCTCCACACCTCCTGAATCCCCACAGCCCCTTGGTCCTATGTATGATCCACACAGGATTGTGGGATCTGTCTTGTTTGTTTTACCACTCTTTTTCTTCATTTTAAACTTCTGTGACCATGTCTATGTCTTAGGTTCTAATGGTAGAAGGCTAGAAGAACACACTGTTCTTTTCCATCCCAGAGTCCCAAGTCAGCGCCTCCTACCTGGCAGAGATGGGCAGTGATGGACACCACAGGTTCCATCATAGTCCAGACATACCACACAGGACTTGTCACCATGAAAATGTAAGCCTTGTCTTTACCTCTGAGGACAAGCAGTCATCCCTACCTGTGGTGGACACCTGGTAGTGCAGCTATCCTGTTCTTCTCAGCTCTAACCTACATCCAACATGCAGATTCAACTGCAAGATTTGCTCCCCTGGTCATAAGAGGTAGGCATGAGACTTAACTACACGAATCAGCAACTTCCCTGGGATCTTCTAAGCTGGGAGTGGGGAAAGGCGGGACTGGACTAGCACATCTCAGGTAAAAGATGAACCCCATCAGACTCATTTCTAGATAAACAGAGAAGCAACATCCTGGCTAGAGAAGCAAGGATCAGAAATGGGGAGCAACCTACCTGTAAACTCAGTGAGTGCGAGACTGAGGCAGAAGGATGGTTCTGCCTGGACTACATAGAGAGTTCAAGGCCAACCTGAGCTACATAACAAGACTATTCTCAAAATGAACCAAAAGAAAAAAAAAAAACCCAAATTGGAGAATAGATGGTGTAGATTTGTGTGACTGGTTCTGAGGCCCAGCCACAATACAGGTCCATCTCTTTCTAAGCCAAGAGTTAAGACTTCTTATCTCCCACAAAACCCATGCTTGGCACAGGGCCTGACAAGAGCAGCCTACACAAATGGTAGCTGTAGATACCCACACTAAGCTGAAATTAAATGGAATTTGAGAATGGCAGGGAATTTGTCAAAAGTCTCTGACTGCCTTTAAAAAGTTCCCACACACCCCTCATGGAGAGCCCAAGGAGCAGAAGCAGGTCTCCCGTTCTCCTAGAGCTTGGGCTCTGGAGTTGTCAGCTCCTGGCTCCACTCTCTCTAGAGTGTAGCTGTGTCCAGGAGTGGGACAAAGGTGGTATAAGGAAGGTGCCAATGGTGATAGGGATGCCCCAGCCAGGCTGCTTCCTGTTCACTAACATGATACACTAGACCACGGTAGAAGATTTGTGTTTCTGGTTCTAATCGGCCCAGCCACAACAAAGGATTATCCCTTTCTGACTTGTGTTCAGACCTCTTATCTCCCACAAACCCCATGCTTAGCACAGGGCCTGGGGAGAACAGCCAAAGCTCTGCAGAGTTCTGACAGCCACAGGGCTGTCCTTCCGAAACCTCTAACATGGACTAATTCACTGTCTCAACTAGGTGGGCCAAGAACTGAGGAGTTTCTTTCTTCCCAGAAGGCAACAGAAAGCAACACCAGACACACAGGAACTTTAAAGGGGCGCAAACTGCTCCTCCCCATCATCTCCAGCCTGCTCACCTATGAGCCACAGAAACATCCCAGACTACCAGAGCCAAGTAGAATCATGACTAACACTTTTTTAGGAAACCATGGTCTCTTTTTACCTGATGCTTTGTTATTCCTATGTTTCAAAACTGTAGATTCTCTAAGAAAATGGAAACCAAGGCAAGAGCCTGTCTTAGCCAGACCTCGGGACCAATACTGGAGCCTGTGTTCAGGCTTGCTGCCCATACACTGTGGCTGCCTTCTTAGGATCTGAGCAGGCCAAAGCAGCAGCAGAAAGCCAACACACACTTCTCCAGACTGCCTGCAGCCAGGCCCCTTAGCTTGGGTCTCCAGCACCGCAGCAAGCAGCCGCTGGATCTGAAGGAAGCAGGCTGCTCAGAAACTAGAAAGACAGTCCTGGGAAGCTTCTGCCTGCTTTCCCACCCAGCTCCTGGCTAAGCACTGCTGTAGGGGCCCCCTGAATGCTTATCACAAGGTCTTTTGGGTTTCTACTTTATCACTAACTCAAGCCTCTGTCCTCTAAAGCCAAAACTCTTGAAACCATCGGAGCCCTACAGTGCTATGTGGACTCACAACTTGGGCCCAATTCTTTCCACCACTGGTGAACACTGTTAACTGACTGATGCCTCGACTTCCAAATGGGCTACCTACAAACACACCTAACACTTACCACCTAAGCCTAAGCCTACCTGAAATGCCCTCTGCAATCCAGCCATGAAAAGAACGGTGGAAAGGGGCAGGCAATTAACCTAACACAGCAGAATGCCCACAGTACACTGCTGGGTTGAAGAAGGGAGTCACATAAGTCTAAGCACTGTGGTTCATAGTTCACTGACACAAATATATGACAGTATACAGCTGACCTCTTCAAACTCCTGAATTTGGCAACCGTTGGTTCAGCCAACTTTGTACAGGAAAAAAAAAATTCAAAATCGGTGTCTAAAATGAATGCAAACAGATCTTTTCCTTGTCTTTACTGCTTTCCCGATACAATATATAAATTACTTAGAGCGTGTATATTATATTAGGTATTACAATCTAGAGATGACGTAAAACATGAAGGAGAAGGTGCATACCTATATACTATGCCATTTTAAAGCAATTTGATCACCTAAGAATTTTGGACTCCTTGGGGGTTCTGGTAAAGATTTTAACTAAAGATTTTTAGTTAATGAGGGGTGACCGGATAGGCAGGCAGTGTTTCCCTGGTAATTTGGATACTTTTGCTAAGAGTGGGTGATGTATGTATGTATGTATGTATGTATGTATTTAAAAACGATATAAACTATACCCTGCGAGTTTAGAAAAGGTCATCAGAAGTCTCTAGGCTATAAATGAGTTCCTGGGATGGGATCCAGGTTTCATAACTTTCAGAAGCTTGTGAAAGCCTTCTCACAACTGGCCCTGAGGTCAACTCCCCTACACCTGAGGGTTTCAGCTGTTCCCCTCCTTCCGAGAGCCCCCCTGCATTTGCTAAATAGTCAAACATGACCTTGAACTCCCAGTTCTTCTGTCTCCTAAGCCCTGGGAATACAGGCACATGTCACTGTGTCTATTTTCACCAACTGAAATAAGATAATTGAATAAAAGACACTTTTTTCCTCCATTGGAGATAAAAACAATCTATGCTTAACATCTCAATATGCATAAGCTAAGGAGTGTTTTATGAATTTGAAGGGTTGTTCAATATCTTCTCCACCATCTAAAAGGGTTGAGTGTGGCCGGGCGGCGGTGGTGCACGCCTTTAATCCCAGCACTTGGGAGGCAGAGGCAGGCGGATTTCTGATTCCGAGGCCAGCCTGGTCTACAGAGTGAGCTCCAGGATAGCCAGGGTTATACAGAGAAACCCTGTTTTGAAAAATAAAACAAAACAAAACAAACAAACAAAAAGGGTTGAGTGTGTTCTTCCGATGGTTTAAAAAGAAAGTCATCAGAGTCCTTTATTCCAGCCCAGTTCCTGCATAAAGCTACTGACCAACGATTCATGGTCCAGTTTATCCAGAAGAGTCAAACAGTTCCCAGAGACCACAATCTTTGGACTCTGACCAAACAAAGAACACAAAGAACATCATCCAGACATGCTTACACCCTTATCTGCCTACGTGTGGAGTTGAGAGGGTTGAGGGTACCTCCCCCATCCTGAACACACTGTCATCTCCATGTGAAGATAGCTCTTGGTGAGCCATGGTTTATCCTTGAATGTTAAAGCACTGTAGTGAACTTTGAGTACTTAAGTCACATAGAAGTCACATTGTCTTATCAACAAAGATAAGAGCCGGGCAGCTGGTGGGGGGGATAACCACTAGGCCTTTCCTTTCAGCTGTTCTGTATCTGCTCAGTTTCAGTCTGTGTATTTACCACCCCGAATTGCTCTGAGACACCCCACAAGGAAGTGTAACATTAACAAACCACATGGAAACATGCCCGTCGTATCTCTTTAAAACTCTCAGAAAAGGTGCCCAAGGGTGTACACTGCTTACCCTGGCTCTTCAGTTGGCCTCTGGACACATTTACAGGACAGTCTTCATTCCATCTGGTCCTACCTTCTCACATTAGTTAGTTTTGGAAACAAGAGTTTCACTAGGTAGTGCAGTCTCAATCTTCCTGACTCCATCCCCTAGTCCTGGGATTGTTGGTGAGCACCGTCACATAGGTCTCACCCTTCTCTCTTCTAAAGCCTCCCCCTGGAAGACTATAAAGCAGGGATGTGGCCCCACTTTCTAACATCCTGCCCACACAGCCTGATACCTCAACTGCTCTTCTAGGAATCCAACTGGAGGTCCCCAGTGGTACCTTTACCACCCCTGTCTTCAGCTTTTGCCTCTTGACTAATGTCTACTGGTATTTCCCTAGTGCCTAGAACCCCAAAGGTAAGCAGGGTAGTGTAAGATAGAAGTGAACCCCACCCCACCCCTTGGACAACATTCATCTTAGAAAAACATCTTCAGTCAAAGTCCAAGAGTAAGAAATAACCAGGAGAGTTAACCCCAGAACACTCTACTCAAAGGAAGGGGGTTGGGGGGAAGACAGGAGACTGTTCTCTATCAGGTGGGTGTCACAGAAACACAGGGGAAATGTCCAATCAGATTTAACTCCAAACTCTTTCCTTTCTTGTGTGTGGGGGAATCAATCATTTTCTACAGCAGAGAAGGAAAGAACTCTAGCACATTTGCCCTAGCCTGACCCTGGTCCTTCTGGAAAGCAACCCTGTTTGTCTGAGACACCAGCCATGGCACTTTATCTACAGAGAGCTTGTGGGTTAATGGTCAACAGTTGGCGCCTAGATTATCTAGATCAAGCAAAAACCAAGACTGTCATCTTTACCAAAAAAGGAAAACAAGAAAAACTGACCAAACAGTGCCTAGAGGAGAGAGTGTCTGGGGCTCTTGAGTCACCAGCTAAGGAAGCATGCACTACTTTACATCTGCTTGGACAGGAAGACTACAGAGCCCCAGACTTACCTGAAACATGGAGGTGTGTTATACAAAGAGTTGTTCCCAGCCTGCAGTTTGTAGTCAAGGACTGATGGGCACTCTCTGAGGGAGAACCCCAGCAGGTCATCACGGACAATCACCACCGTCACCCCAGCAGAGCCAACGTTCTTCTGAGCACCAGCGAAAATCACACCAAACTTTAAAAAAAAGAAACAAACATTGGCTATTTCAGAAGCATCTGCAGTCATCTCTAAGCCATGCATGCCAAGATCTAGCTCTCCGCTAAACAGCTGTTTCAATGAAGGGACCCATTTCTACCTAGGAGCGTTCCATACTATAGAAATCTCTACCCAGAAAAGCAAGTCAGCACTTCTGAGACCCAAGGCCTGGCCTTTGCCCAGAGACCTTCCACACCCAGGACTATGAAGGCCTGCTTGATATACTCATGCTCTCACAATCCTTGTTTTGCTTCCAAACCAGTCTTTAGATCAGGCCCTCTCAGAGCTGGAGAGATGGCTCAGCAGTTAAGAGCACTTGTTGCTCTTACAGAGGATCTGGGTTTGCTTCCCAGCATCACAGGGTTACTCACAAACATCTGTAACTCTAGTTCCAGGGGTTCTAATACCCCTTCTGACCTCTGAGGGCTTAAAGAACACACATGGTACATATATATATATACTAATATACATATAATAAGAAATAAGTATGCTCTTTCTTATCTTCCTTGCTTCCTCCCCCCATTCAATAAAAAAACCTCTTCTCGTGGAAGGAAAATATTAGTAAATCTAAAATAAAATTTTTTAACTACATAAATATAGGCCTTCTGGTCTAGGCTTAGTGGTCCACAACTATAATCCCAACTCTTAGGAAATGCAAGTAGAAGGATCTGGAGTTTGGGGTCACCCTTGGCTTCATAGTGAATTCAAAGCTAGCCTGGTATATAAGACTCTCTAGATTGAGGCTTAATTCAGTAATAAAACATGCTTATCATGCATAATGCTTAAAACACAACATTGAAAAATAATTAAAGCCTCTAAATCTTTGGTAAAAATATCATTTAATCTAAAAAAATATCTTGTATAACTATTAATGTTTTCATAATTTGAAATGAAAAATATTTTATATATTTTTATTAAATGTTGAAATGGTTAAAATATAAATTTTTAAAAATTTAAATCAATGGGCTGCAGGATGGATCAGTGGTTTAGAGCACTTATTGCTTCTTAGAGGACCTGGGTTCAGTTCCCAGGACTCACACCGTGCTGCTCATCTGACCACTGCCAGCATCAAACACACATCTGGTACACACGCATGCATGCAGAGCAGGCATCCAGACACGTAAAATAAAATTAATCCATCTAAAAAACATTAGGTGTAAATTAATCAATAGGAACTTCCATTTAGAGAGACTCTGAAGTTGCTTTGAAGCGGACTGCTGCAAACAACGTGAGTGTGTAAGACACCTGCTGAAGGGGACAGTCTAACAGTTCGTGAGAGCATTTTGTTGTGTAAGATAACAGACCTGTCTCTTTATCCCCCATGAAATCCTCAGGGAACCAAGTAAGGTGTACGGTTTACAAGTGACACAGTTTGGAACAGCCAAACACACGCAATCCCAGCACAAAAGGAGACAAGAGGGTTTCAAGATCAAGGCCAGGCTGAGCTGAGCTAGATAGTAAGATCCTTCTTTAAAAACATAGACTATGGCTATAAAGCAAAAGTTATAAACATATATAATGGAATATTAGTCTAAAGCTGAATTTCAGATATATGCCACAGCATAAGAAGGCACTAGTGAATGTAAGCCAAGCACTAAAGACAAATATCATGATCCCATTTATGGGAAGTCCCTTGAGTACAAATTCATAATAGTGGTTGGCAAAGGCTGGGGTGTGACATTTTAATGGGACAAAGTTTCGGTACAAAATCTGAACGTTCTTGGAGTTGGACAGAGGTAAAGGCTGCAGAGCAGTGGTAATGTGCTTAACACCACTGAGCTGCGCACCTAAAAGTAGTCAGGATGGGGCAGTAAGGTGCTCCAGAAGGTAAAGAACCCGCACGGCAAGTGTGCATCCAAGCACACACTATAACAATAGGTAAATAATATATACGTAGAAATACGTAAACAGAGTCTCACTGTACACCTTTGGCCTGGAACTCAGAATATAAACCAGGCTACCCGATAAGCACAGAGAGCCACCTGCCTCTGCTTCTTGAACGCTGGGATTAAAGGTTTATGCCACCAAGCGTAGATTTAACTTTTGTTGTTGTTTTGAAACAGGTTTTCTCACAGTCTTGGCTGTCTTGGAACTCACTCTGTAGACAAGGCTGGCCTTGAACTCAGAAATATGCCTATCTCAATCTCCCAAGCTCTGGGATTAAAGTGGTGCACCACCACACCCGGTTGACTTAAATATTTTTTAAACTATGACTATAATAATACATTTTGCTTTAAGCATATTTTACTACATTAAAAGGGGAAATATAGCTAGGTATTGTGGTCCATCATAGGCAGAGGATCTCTGAGTTCAAAGCCAACATGGTCGACACATAGTGAGTTGTAGGACAGTGAAGGATAGGGCTATACACAGACCCTGGCTCAAAACTACCAAATCAGGGGGTAGAGAGAGCGGCAGAACTGTTACAGATCCTTTTAGAATTATATAGCAGGATTTCTGACCTTCATCGGAAACACTACCACCATCACCACCACCGCCACCACCAGCATCTACACCACCACAAAAGCGGAATATGGGGATGGCTCAGCTGGTAACCAGAAGGCCACACCTGGAACCACATGAACCACATGAAGGTGGACAAAGAGAACCAACTCCATGAAGTCGCCCTCTGACACATTCATCTCTCTCATTCAAGCTCACACAGGGACAAACTCCAGAGTTTGGTAACCTGACTTTGGAGTGAGCATGTCACTCCTAGTGTGCTGGCCATCAAGTTTTCAAGAGCCACTGACTGCCAAAGGTGGGCAAGTTCCCCAAAGCCTGGCAGGTAGGCCCTGAGCAATCAGACTCAGATGTTCAGACAGCTAATAATGAAAGAAGCAGTTGTCAGCCTATTGACTGACATCTAGCCTGGCTTCAGAGTCTGCCAGCCCCAGATGCCCCAGAGTCTTTCCATATATCAAAACAGCTCAAAGAAACATTCACTGGTTCCCCAAACCAACCTTTCATACTCTACCTTGGAGACGTCCACTGGCCTGGATAAGAAGTTTGAGGACATGTCACAGACCAGCACAGCTCCCTTGACGTCAGGTATGAAGTCAAACTCCACCCCATGCACAGTCTCGTTCGCACAGAAGTACACATAGGAGGCGTCCGGGTTGAGGTTCCAGGTGCTTGGGTCTGGAATTTCTGTCACAGAGGGCAAATTTGAGACTCTGCATACTTCCTTCCCTTTTTCATATGTAGATGATGTCACCCAGGAGACCAGTTAACTTCCTGAGGGGAAGACTAACTCCAAAGCACTTGACAAGAACACAGACCTACCTACTCATTCTTGCCATCATCACAAAAAGCTGGGGATGGAAGTTATCTGAAAGTTTTCTTGACATCAATCGTCCATCTACCCTACTTCCTGTCGGTGTCTAGCTGCTTCTTAGAACCGCAGTGTTTACCCACTTTGGATGCATATGGTTCCAGCAGAGCCAATCAAATCTATACCCCTAGGGGTAAAATGTGACTCAGGCAGAGTCAGTGACTGCTTCACAGCAGGGCCTGTGATCCTATTAATGGGAGGCTCTAGCAAGGGCACTGAAACTTCCAATGCAATGAGCTGAAGAGCAGCTGCAGCCATCTTCCTAGAAAAGGGACTGACTTCAGACTACAGTCTTCTCTGGAGGAGATAAGGAACGACTAAGACATGGGCAGCATCCCTGGGGCCCTTGATCTCCCCATAAAAACCAAACTGTTCCTGCGCTTTTAGGTAAGCAAGACTCTCATCACTGTAATGTAGCCAGCAAACTACCATCACCACACAATCTCACAGAGATCACTACTGGCAGGAGAGTAGCAATAGAACAGGAAGGGCAATAGCCAGCCACCACCTCACCGTGCATCTTCAGTTCCCAGAACTTACTGGTGTAACTTCCAAGTTTAGGGTGGACAACGTTCACAGTCCCAAACTTCTTGGCTTCTTCTGCAGCCTTAGCTGACCAAGCTCCGGTCACCACATAGTCAGCACACCTTCCAGGTTTCAGGCCAATCAGATTTAAGGGGACAGCACTGAACTGGCCAGACCCACCTCCTTGTACAAAGATCACCTTGTAGTTGTTGGGAACAGCTCTGGGCATCAAAAACAAGTGATCATAAATACTTAAACTAATACGTCAAATATGGAGAACGAGGGCTGTTCCACTAAATGCATACTTTCCATCTTCCTCTACATAGGCAGGGGAGGTGGCTCAGTGGCTAAACACACAGTCTGCTCTTGCAGAGAATGGAGGTTCAGTTCCCAGCACCCACATTCAAGCAGCTGACAAATGTCTTTAACTCCAGCCCCAGAGTATCCAATGTCCTCTTCTGGCCTCTGTGAGTACACACACATATACAAACACACACATCCAAAATAAACCTTAAAAGAAAAAGAAATACGGTAAACTATTACCTTGCTTTAGCCAAGTTAGTCATTTATTTATTGGCTTCTTTGACACTGATGATGGCAGAAACCTATGGTGACTTCTTCCTTTTCCTAGAAATGCCCTGCTTTCTATAGGGAATCCCACTTCTGCTGCATAACCCTCAGAATTCAACTATAGCCAACCCCAACTCAGGGGGTGAGCAGTGAGCAAAGCTGGCCAGTGGGATCTTTGTTCAAATCATGATGATTCTGGCCTCCTGTGGACATTCTAAATAAAGTGTGTAGTATAGAAAATAATGTAGTAGACATCCAGGTTTATGGCATGGAGAACAAAACTAATTAAGTCAGTGTTTTAAGAAACAGCACAATATGGGGCTGGAGAGCTAGTCACTGGTTGACAGCATTTACTGCTCTTGCAGGGAACCTAGGTCAATTCCCAGCACCCACACGGTGGCTCACAACAGTCTAATTCCAGTTCTAGGGGATCTAACACTCTGACCTCTACGTGCTCCCATGTGATGCACATACATATAACTCAGGCACACACACACATAAAATAATTTTGTAAATACTTGTTAAAACTTACAGCAATTCCCTCACAAGATTCTCTGTATTGCCAATAATCTTGGCGAAATCTGATGACCTGTGACTCATTTCTGTGGAAGCAAAGAAACAAAACAAAACAACAACAACAACAAAGTTCAAGTATAATACTAAATAAAAATGGTTGTGAAATTTATGGAGAAATAATATAAGGAAAGCTCTGAGTTCAGATGGTAGACACACGCTCACTTACTGTGCCAGACAATTACTGAGCTCACAGTAATGTTGAAACTGTAACATTGCAGTCCTGTAGTCACAGCACTTTTTTTAAGTGCCACATTAACTGATCCTTGGGTTCTTTTTTTATCAGACTCTGCTCTATCTCTTTTCCCAATCTAGAGACACAGAGACTCAAGCAAGAGTGGTGGTACACCCATGTCATTCCCAAATCCCAGCATTCAGGAAGCTGAGGATTTAAATTCAAGGCTAACCTGAGCTAATAGCATGATTTTTGTCTAAAGATAAAAGAAGCAGCAAGCATGGTGGCTTACTCCTATATCCTTAGTATTCAGAGACTGAGGCAGAAGGATTGCCACTATCAAGAGTCTGAGGCCAGCCCAGACTACTGTATGAGATTCTATCTTAGGGGAAAAAAAAAGTCAGGCATGATGGCACACACCTTTAACCCTAGCACTTGAGAGGCATAGGTGGAGGATCTCTGTGAGTCGAGGCCAACCTGGTCTACACAGAGGACAGCCAGGACTACATAAAGAGACCCTGTATCAAATAAAAAAACAAAAAGGAGCAAACAAGCAACAAGAAAGACACTTAAGTATATCCCCAAATGCCAAATACACTGGAACAAAAATTAACACAAAAAGGAAGACAGTCCCTTCATACAGTACAGCCCGTGGAACTTACAAGAAAATGATAGATAGATAGATAGATAGATAGATAGATAGATAGATAGATAGATACATGTGTAACTTTTAGAGCTTGGAGGTTCTCTTCCTAAACAAGAGCAAAAGTTTAATAAATAAATTATTAATGAGCAAGATCTTCATTGAAGCTTGTGAACTTAACTTACAAATTTTCATTTAAAGTTTACTTAAAGTTTAATTAAAAATTTTATACTGAATGTGAAGCAATATTACAATACACTTGGTGGCTCCCTTATGCAAATGTATAGTATCTGCTAATCTCACATCTTGTGTTCAATGAAAATTATGAACCAGTGAGCTACGTCTAAACTTCTCACGTGCACTTCGGCTTTGTTAGTCTTGACTCCAGCAAATGTGTGAGCCAAGACATTAAAGTGGACCTGGGATTAAAGGCCTGTGCCAACAAGCTTGCCTTTTTTTTTCTTCTAAGATAGGATCTCATACTTCGGTCTATACTGTATGGAAGACCATACAGGGCAAAGCCTGGGCTTGAGGGATTTGTTCCTTTTTAAACTGGGATAGTAACAGAATCCAAAAGTAAACCTTACCAAGCACACTGATGCCAAGTCCTTTGTAGTCTAGCAGCTGTTTCTGTATCTCTAACAATACCTGGGAGAAGAAAAGGAAGATTTCAACATGCTGTGTTGAACTTTCCTCTTCACACTCACCTGGGAGGTAGGGACAGCCGAGCAGAGGCCCGGGAGGTGCCAGGCTTCTGTTCCCAGCCAAGCCCCTTCCCTCCCTCCCCAGAGCCTCACGGGTACAACTTATACAAGCTGAGGCTGAAGTTAGGCAACATGATTGAGTCAAGAAACTTTTTCAAAGACACGAATTTACCAATTTCCTAGAAAATGTGCCCCCTAGAAATCTCATTCACCTCTCTCTTAAAAACATAGAACATTCTCAGTTCAGAGACCGACAGGAACAAAAGCTACGTAGTGTCCAAATCATACAGGCAGGTCAGTTGGGGGTTGAGTGCACACAAGATTTGGATAGGTGGCAACAGAAAGAACCTGCTGTGAATTAAAATAAACTCTAGGAGCTGAGGCTCCTACATGAGAATCAATAGTAGTATTGATAAATATACAATTGATATATATGTACCAATAAATGAATAATAAAGTACATAAAAAGACTAAAAATAAGTTCAAAGATGGTTTCATGTGGTTGGTGAAGGAATCTGGTAGAGCTCTTGTCATTTGCAAAGGCAGGTCCTGTTTAATCCTGTTTAACACAAAAACCAAGAATCTGTTGCAGGTGTTTCTTTTAATATGAATGTGTTCACTAAAATCTACTTGAAAGCTTTTGATATATATGCGTGTGTCCAAGAACCTGCTGCAAGTTTCTTTTAATATGAATGTGTTCACTAAAAATTACTCAATTTTTTATCGATATATACACAATATATACATATTGATAAAAATTATGTTACATACACATATATGGCCAGTGCAGTTTCAACATATAATTTTTTTTAAATTTTTATTTATTTATTATATGTAAGTACACTGTAGCTGTCTTCAGACACCCCACAAGAGGGCATCAGATATCATTGCAAATGGTTGTGAGCCACCATGTGGTTGCTGGGATTTGAACTCATGACCTCTGGAATAGCAGTCAGTGCTCTTAACCACTGAGCCATCTCACCAGCCCTCAACATATAATTTAATGACATCCATTTTCTTTCTCTTCTTTTTTTGTTTTTTTGGTTTTTCGAGACAGGGTTTCTCTGTGTAGCCCTGGCTGTCCTGGAACTCACTCTGTAGACTAGGCTAGCCTCGAACTCAGAAATCTGCCTGCCTCTGCCTCCCAAGTGCTGGGATTAAAGGCATGCGCCACCACTGCCCGGCTCTTTCTCTTTTTTAAAGCTAGATGGACAGGGTAGGATTTGGACCCATGTCAGTCTTCCACTAGTTAAGGTTACAGAACTCCTCTCTACTCCAGTTCGTAGATAGTATCTTTTGGTTTGTTTGAGATAAGGTCTCATTATATAGTCGTGGCTGACCCGTTTAATCCAAGTGCTGGGATTAAAGGCGTGTGCCACCACACTGGGCCTTAACTAGTGTCCTGATGCCATCTCCCATTTGGATTCTTTCTCACAGGGTCTTTGGCATTTGGTGTTTAATCTTAGAGCATTTATTTATCTATCTTTATTTGAGACAGGGTCTCTTTACAATGCTCTGGCTATCCTGGAACTCATGTAGACCAGTCTGGCCTTGAACTCACAAACGTCCATCTGCTTTTCACCCTCAGTGCTGGGTCTAAAGGTGTTCACCATGACACCTGGCCTGAGCCTTTCTTTATTATGGATATCTTTTATTTACCTGCCAGGACCCATTTCTTGTCTCAGCAACGTTCAACATATTGACATTAGGTAAACTGAGCTCTCTCTTGTAGTCTTAATACTGTCTTTTTAAAATTTTCTGGTTTAGGTAAGAACACATATCCTATTTTCTATCCCCCTGCCACCCCTTTTACTTCTGATTCATTTCTTCCTTTCCTTCCTCCTGATTTCCTTTAGTGTTGGGGATTGAACCAAGGACCTGGAGTGTGCCCGACACATTTTATACCACCGAGCTACATCCCTAGCTTCTGTCTCCCATTGCATTATGGGGAATTGATATTGCTTATTTGATTTGATAAGTTTATGTGAATGATTGGCTTCCCAATGTCACATCAATAAATTCCCATGGCCCTTCAAAGGCTGCTTTATCAGAATGGAATAATTGTATGCAAAGTCAAGATGTAGCCCACAACTGAATGAAAACCATTCTTCCAGTCTGTTGAATGCATTTTCTCTTTCCTCCACCTCCCTCAAGCTTTGCTGCAAATGAAACCTGGGTGATTCTTATGTGTCAAGCAACTGCTTTATCTCTCTTTGAAAAGGCAGGTCCTGGAGCTGGAGTTTTTACAAGTAGTTGTGAACCAACAAAAGTGGGTGTTGGGAACCCAACTTGGGTCCTCCACTCTTTTGTTGTTGTTGTTGTTTGTTTTTTTCGAGACAGGGTTTCTCTGTGTAGCCCTGGCTGTCCCGGAACTCACTCTATAGACCAGGCTGGCCTCGAACTCAGAAATCCGCATGCCTCTGCCTCCCAAGTGCTGGGATTAAAGGCGTGCGCCACCACTGCCTGGCTGGGTCCCCCACTCTTAAGTGCTAAGTCATCTCTCCAGCACTGTGTTTTTCTAAATGGGTTCCTTTAAATGATGGTCGGAAGAGTCATGGAAGAGACGGCTCAGCTGGGATGAGCACACACTGCTCTTCCAGGAGTCTGGAGTCTGAGCTCCCGAACCCACATCAGCTGGGTCACGACCACCTCTAACTCACTTCCTCAGGCACCTGAACCCGTGGACACACACCCACACATGCAGACACATAATTTTTTAAAAAATGAAATTTTTTTACAACCAAAACCACTATTTAAAGAAAAAAAAAAGACTCCTAGCCAAATGCTAGGACCCATCTCTCCAGCCTCACGTACAGCATTTCATAAATTTCATTTTTCTTTAAGGATGACAGTCAAAAATTTCAAAAGCATCTCTAATCCTTCTAATTCAATTAAATCAGGAAGATTCCTACATTGAAGTTAATCGCACATGTCTGTAATTCCTACATGCTGAATAGTTTTATGTCAACTGGACACAAGCTACAGTCATCTGAAGAGGGGACCACAATTGAGAAAATGTCTCAATTAGATTCGGCTGTTAGCAAGCCTGTAGGGCATTTTCTGAATTAGTAAGGAGAGTCTAGTTCATTGTGGGTGGTGCCACCCCTGTGGTGGTGGTCAGGGGCGCTATAAAGACTGAGAAAGTCCTGGAGAGCAAGCCAATAAGCAGCACCCCTTCATGGCCTCTGCATCAGCTCCTAACTCTGAGTTCCTCACTTCTTTTGATAATGAACTGTTATAGGGAATTGTGAGTGAAATAAACTCTTTCCTCCACAAGTTGCTTTTTTTTTTTTCTTTTTCGAGACAGGGTTTCTCTGTATAGCCTTTGCTGTCCTGGAACTCACTCTGTAGACCAGGCTGGCCTCAAACTCAGAAATCCTCCTGCCTCTGCCTCCCAATTGCTGGGATTAAAGACGTTTGCCACCACTGCCCGGCCACAAGTTGCTTTTGGTCCCAGTGTTTCATGACAGCAATAGTAACCCTAAGACATCCTCTCTTGGGAGGTGGAGGCAGGAATAGTTAGTTCAAAACCAGCTTGAGGTACGAAGTAAATTCTGAACTAGCCTGTACTGAGACATTGCCTTACCCTATCTGGAAAACAAAAAACAAACAGCTCTCCAAAACAGAGAGGAGTGGGGGTGGGGGAGGCCTCCAGAAATTCCCACAGTTCTAGCAAGGAACCGTCACAGAAGATGAAGTACATTAACTGCAGAATAAGCCCTGTTCTCAGTTTGTGTGGCTGTCCCTACAAAAGCAAGGCGTCTTTCCCCCCTCACACTGTGAGATCCTGTTTCTACCCAACAGAGACCGTGGTGTCCCAGGGAGATCGCCAGAGTTCAACAAAAGATAATTGTACAATTCTTGGCCATGCCTGCGCGCTGTGGCAACCAGTTATCAGATAGCAGCTTGGACAGCTGGTCCATGGGCCCCAGGCCACCAGAGGCATCTCATTCCGCACAGCTGGGGTGCGGGAGGAACCCGCGCAGGACGGGACGGGATGGCACCCAGATCAAGTGAATGAATGGAACGTGGCCAAACAGACCAAAGTCTTTCAGAGTCTGCGAAAACAAGCAGGTTTCCAGGAGAAAGGCTTGAGGGCTGGGTGGGTTCGGTGGAGGTGAAGATGAAGAAGCTGGCAGCTTTCAGTTTCCGAGTTCTGAGGTCTATGTTCCCTGCGTGCGGAGCTTAGCCTGCGCTCCCCGGAAGGAGACTTGCTCGCCCCTGGCCCGCCAGCCGACCACCCATTCATTCACACTCCCACGCTCGCCGGTGCGTGCGGGAGCCACCAAGGCCACACCGCCGGGAGGCCCGGCCTGAGGCTGCAGGTAAGCGCCTGCGTCTGTGTACAGGAACGCACTTCGGTCTCAGCAACTATCTCTCCAAGGTAGCATCCCCGCTCACCGACGTCTGTATCTCAACAGCCACATCCCGACGCCCCGCATCCCGATGCCCGCATTCTGACCGAACCCCAGCCATCTTACCGAGTGTGGCAGCTTGGCAGGCCCGGGCCCAAAGTTAATCACTTGCTTGGTGGCGTCCATGGTGCTAAAGAGACTGCGAGGGAAGTGGCAGGAGCAGAGACCACGCGAACAGCCCGCGTCTCCGGATGCAAAGGCAGGGCGGGCTTCAGCTTGCAGAGTCGGCGCTCCATTGGTTCGCTTTCTCAGGCCGCTCACTGGTTGGCTCTCACTCAGAAGCTCGCCTCCCCATTGGCCATGCTCACTATCGGAGCCTGCGATCAATCGCTCCTCCTGGAGTTTAGAATTTCAATCCGCCTTAGCCGGCAACGCAAGAGAACAGAGGATTGCACCAGCCACCCGCGTGACGAGGTGCCTACTACTGCCTTCGCGCACCTCTGGGCGCAGAGTCCCCTGCTCTGATCTCTAAACAACTTTGAGGTGGCGCCCAAACCCATTGCTCCTGGCTCGCCCCCAGCGGGGCTGGGCTCTGCTCACCAGACTTTCCTAAGACCCTTACAAACACTCCGATATAGAGTCAGGACACCCAAAGAAGGATGTACAGGGTGAAAAAAGGGCTGAAGAGAGAGGTCATAGGTTTGTGACCCGGTGCACCTGATCATCACAGCACTCAGGAGGGTGAGACAGGAGGATAGCTACTTGAAGGCCAGCAAAGGGCTACACACAGGGACCCCGTCTCAAAAAATAGCATAAGAAGCCTTTATATTTGCACCTGGGCTCTAACTCACTGCACCACGAAAGGACAGAGGTGGCTAAGAACTTTGGGGGCAGCCCACCCCACCCCTGCAGCCACCCTCATCCTGGACAGCCTCTTCCAAGTTGCTGAGTCTCAGTTCTTTCGTTATCTCTTTCATGAACTGAGGAGCAGAAACCTGAATTTTGGCTCTTGTGCCGGAGCCCCTCAAGCTGTGAGGAGGTATTAACAGGAGGGTAACAAGCAAGCTAAACGCAGTCAGGACCAGAGGAATGTGGCCCTGAGCCTAGCTGGGCACAGGGCCAAATCTGTTCAAACTTTTCCACACAAGTTCCCTTTTCAAAAGAACTGTGCTGGAGGCTCACTTGAGATCCTGGAACAAGAAGGCCCCTTCTATGCTAGGGTAGTTCTTTTGAAGTCCAACACATTTTAAAAAGCATTTTCCCCCTACTTTGCAGTTTAACCCAGATTCCTTTACTACGAAAACATTTTCCCAAGTTCTTTTGTGCAATGGATGGCAGGAATAGGCACAGTGCCTACTGAGCGTTAGTGCCGACCTCAGCATCTGTGGCCTCGGTTTCACAGGCTTGCAATCCAGCCTTTCTGAATGTGGGATCTTGTTTGTTTTCTATACCTTGTAGAAGGGGTGTGGCTGAGAACAGAAACACTGCTTTGAGTGTTTAAGCAAAATTGTTAGAGAAAGTCGAAAAAAGCCAAGTCACAGCCTTCTTCAGCACCTTAGTTTAAAAACTTTCGTAACTGGAGATGGGAGGCGCCTCACATCTTTAGTCTCAGAGGTAGAAGTATGGGTAAACCGACCTTGAGTTCAAGGTCAGCCTGGTTTACAGAGCAAGTTCCAGGACAGTCGGGACTATTAAAGAAAAACTTGGTAAAAATTTAACTTTTATTCATGATTTAATTGTTGCCTGGAGCCTAACTGCCTCAGTCTGCTAACTTAGACCAGGTCCTGGAAGCTTCTGGCCTCGGTATAATCTAAGCTAGACCTATGGCATTTTCAGCCTCTGAGACTTACTGCCCAGTAAGCTCACCTTTACTAGCCCTTTCCGTATTCTTGTTGACTGGTTCAACTTGGCTGGCTCAAAACTCCTCTCCAAGCTGACTTTTCTATCTGGCTTCTCTCTCAGCCTCTCCTGAATTTCTCTGCTTGGCCTCATACTAATTTGCAATCTAGTCTAATCTGCTGGCTCCTCATTCTCTGGCTTGTTGTGTCTTTACCTGTGCCTAGCTTGTTCTTTCTTCAATTTGTCTGTCTCTGTATAACAACTGTCCCAGTAAAACTGCGTCTCTCTCTTTCTCTTCTCTCTCTCTCTTCCTCTCTCCTCTCTCCCCTCTCTCCTCTCACCTCTCTCCTCTCTCCTCTCTCCCCTCTCCCCTCTCACCTCTCCCCTCTCCCCCCTCTCTCCCCGA